CCATGTTTCTTCTTCGTTTTTCTCACAGTGAGTGGTACCCAGGCACCCAAATCTTCAAAACCCACAAAGCCCACCGCGCCACTTCGTCTTCCTCATCGACCTCGGCAAAATCCTCGTCTCTTTCTTCTCACTTCACCATGGTAGAACTGAAGTAGCGCATTTTGACTTCCCTTTCTAAGCTATCGGATCGGGATACGCGGGATACGCAACAAATCGCCATGGAAGATCTGGAGAAGATTATCCAGAGCCTTTCCCCAGACAAAGTAAGAGAGCAACGGCAAAGTTGATGGTGAATAGAAGTGACACATCGTCGTCTGCGTTCGGAGAGAGTGCAGAGTAAATTCACTTTTAAATTGAAATTCATGGATTTGAAAATGAATTTCAAATACACGGAATTTATCTCGTTCAAATACAGAGAGTAAAATATATGTGTTTTACTTAAATCTAATTATATTTTATTTAAGTAAAAGTAAATAATAATATTAAATTTGAAGTGTCTAAATTTAAATTAATGTCCTATGTTCAGCCTCTTAAAATTGGTCTTTCACTAGGCAATGTGCCATTTACTAAGGAAGTATAGAAATCTGTGTTTGGCTGCCCTTAATGTCTATCTATCGGGAGTACGAGCAAATAAACTGAGAGTGGTCCATTACCTGTGGAGGGAACGTGGTGGTGGTAGGAAGGATCTTGTATTGCATGTTAGTTTGATAACTGTTTTTGATTATTGAGACATATACCAGGAATGCTTGGTGATATGAGTATACTGAACTTGCAGAGATTGGATTAATAAATCATATCATTTTCTAGAAAAGGCTTAGCAGACAAGCAAGGCAAAAGAATTGTTAAAAAGAAGGAAATAGACAGTCCCCATAACAATGAAATCTCCATGGCTCAATATAATGCCATATCAGATTTTGATAAAAAGCTGTTTTCTCACCAACATGTCTAAGGTTGAAACCCTTATTCCTTCTTCCGGTCCCACTCTCTATCAGCATTTTAATAAGTTGGTTTGTTTTATAAAAAA